AGGGACTACTGTAAACTCATCTAGAGCCTCTGCACCGTGCTCTGATGCTGTTGTTTTATGCTTTATGAACGGGGACAACAGAGAAACATATTCTTCATGACCAAAGTTGGAATTGAAATAAAAAAGGAAAGTGAAACTTATGCTCGTCACCCTCTCCCTCCGGTCCACATTAATACAAATGATCCCAATACGTATGATTGTATGAACTATGAAAAGATCTTAAAAGCAATACAAATGTATTTATTATAAACGTTAGTCCTTAACATCTATCACTGTGTATATCACCATTCAAACATCTTTTTAAAAGTTGAACAAACCCCACACAGCTCAGTAAAGACTGTGAAATGTTGACTTTATTTGATCATTTCAGTAAAAACTAACGTTCATATTTCTCTTTTTGATTATAATACTGATGAACGTTCAAAACAAAGCACTTTGGCAACTTACCACATACGTTTTGAACCGTAACTTTCATGATATCATTTCTCGTTCATAATCGATTGTTTCCGTGAACGGCCGACTGTTGTGTGACGGCAAATGCCGCGGCCGCAAGGCATTGTGGGGCAGCATTTTCTCCTCTCCTTTCGGTTAGGGAGGTCCAGTGGTTCCTAAGCTAAAGGAGGTTATAAAGGAAGTTTGAAACCTCCTTTCCTTTTAATTTAGAGAATTCGAACGGCACTTATCATGGCTGCCACTGAGGGACTTCCGGGTCATTTCACTCCGTTAGGAAGGTTCCTAAGCTAAATGGACTATTCGACCGCAACCCAAGTGTCTCCATCATTGCCCACATGTGCGTTGAAGTCTCCCAGCAGGACTAAGGAGTCCCCTTCAGGAGCTTCATACAGGACTCTTTTCAGGGTCTCCAAGAAGGCTGAATACTCAGAACTGCTGTTTGGTTCATAAGCACACACAACAGTCAGAGTTTTCCCCCCCATAACCCGCAGGCGCAGGGAGGCGACCCTCTCGTCCACTTGGGTAAACTCCAACAAAGAAGCACCCAACCGGGGGCTTGTGAGTATCCCCACACCTGCCCGACGCCTCACACCTTGGGCAACTCCGGAGAAGAATAGAGTCCAACCCCTATCCAGAAGTAAGGTTCCAGAGCCGACGCCATGTGCGTAGAGGTGAGCCCCACCAGATCCAACTGGTAACGCTCCACGTCCCGCACAAGCTCCGGCTTCTTCCCCCCCAGAAAGGTGACGTTCCACGTCCCCAAAGCCAGCTTCTGCCGCCCGGGTCTGGTCCGTCGAGACCCTCTGCTTTCACTGCCACCCTTCTGGCAGCGAACCTGACCCCATCGCTGTTTCCCGTAGGTGGTGAGCCTGCAGGACGGAGAAGCGGAGGTGTTGCCCGCGTTGCCTTTTCTGGTCTGGTCTGGTGGCCGTGGCAAGCCCGGCCCAGCCACCAGACGCTCGCCGACGAGTCCTCCTTCTGGGCCTGGCTCCAGAAGGGGACCCCGGGCTTCCTCCAGGCCGGGTATCCTCACTTCTTATGTTGTCGTTTTTCATGAGGTCTTTGAACCAATCTAATGGCGCATTTCCACTACACGGTCGGCCTCGGCCACACTCGGTACGGCTCGGTACGGCTTGGCCGCGTTGGGCCTTAACAGGGCCGACTCACTTCATGCTGCGCTTCCATTACAGTTTAGGAACTGGGGTAGGTACTATAGTAACGCAGTGTAGGCGGAGCCGTGACGTCATCTTCAATGAGAACTCCAGAAACACAACACAGCCGTTAGCTGTTAGCACTCAGAGCTCACAGCTCCTTATATATGTTCAGAAACTCGACAAAAGTTAAACAAGTACACACCACAGACTGCCTGTGTCATGGTGAATACAGTCGCTGCTTTATTTATGTCTGTATAGGCCGTTGTTGTGAGTGTGGACGGTCAGAGCATATACTGCGTTAGCTTAGCCAATCTCCATCTAGAAAAACACGCATTTTAAAAGGTTTTTCGCCTGCCGTCTGTCTGCAGACTTGACAAAGCATTAATTCATGGTTTTTACTAACCGGTATCAGTATGTTGTTACTTCGGCATCATTTTGAAACGTGTATTACAATTAAATCACGGTCAAATATGTCCATCTTGTTGTAGTTCTAGCCCTCTTGCCAGCGCTCCTCTCTCTAGTTTAGCATACTCAGCCCGACTCAGCCCTGTTTGTTGGCCCCGATAGAACCACAATTTTGTCGGGCCAGAAAAGAGGTGAAAAAGTGGCCCCGGGCCGGGCCGGGCCGTAACTAGGCCTAGTGGAAGCGCAACCAAAAACGGGTACGGCACAACACGGCACGTTTAAAGCGGGCTCCGCGCTGTAGTGGAACTGCGGCATTAGTCTGGCCCCTTGCCTGAGACCAATTTGCCATAGGAGATCCTACCAGGGACACAAGGTTCCAGACAACACAGCCCCCAGGTTCATCGGGGCACACAAACCTCTCCACCACGATAAGGTGCTGGTTCTTCAGAAAGGAAAAGATGTTCTCTATAATAGAAAACAGAAAACAATAGCTGCCTGGAATTGTAAAAAAAATCTGACACATAGCAGCATTGTTTGCAAAATGTTTAGCTGCAAAGTAAAATAATAGGGGTTTACCCTTGACACTGACTACAAGATCATTCACTCACCCTGGAGCCATTAAAGTATGTTGTTTGTGACAAATTGTGCTGTGTCATGGCCAAGGCGGTAACTGCTTAAGATGGCTGCCTTCCAAGATGATGACCAGGAGGGACAATGGAAGTGGGGGATTGAGTAGAGGTCAGAAAGCTATACAGGAGATAGAGAACAGCATCTGAGACTGCAGTTTATCATATAATATCATTTTTGTGATGTGGCAATAACAATCTCTCTCTTTTTCTTTCAGTGAAAACTGACTTTCTGTCTGAACCCCCCTGCAGACTCATGAAATTCATAGTAGTTACATCTTTCTTTTACTCAGCTGTGCATATCAAGGGCTACAGCTGTGCCATCAACAGCTCCAGCACCCAGCTGTCTCTGTTTGTCTTAAAGGTCCCATGACATGGCCATTTCTACTGATCATCATTCCATTGTTGAGGTCTACTAGAATAGATTTATATTGTGCAATTTTCCAAACTCACATTGGTTTCTCATACGGCGTCTCTGTATAGTATGTGTATTCACTCTCTGTCCTAAACGGCTTGTTGGAGCTCCTTCAATCGAACTGTGACATTAGATTCTCTGACATGTTAACACCTTGTAGGCCTACTTCAACTTTACACAATGAAATGGGTTTGTTGTATTAGTGTATTCTGTAGGACGTAAAAATGTTACCATAGCTACAGTAATATATATTAGAAGCTTTGTTAGCTGCTTAGCAACCATAATCACATAAGGTCATGGAAATTGGTCTGTCTATCTTACAGTATATCACAGTAAAATTGTGACATTTTGTAGCCACTTTATTGTTGGTCTTTTATCTGTGAATATTTTCATCCGTGAACCTATTTTCTTATCCTGCTCCTTCTGGTGATAGTGTTCAGGCTACATAAATAATGACTTTATGCCTACAATGGGCTATTTTGAACAAAAAAAGTTAATGTTGTTACTAGGGACGAATCTAAGGAAAAAAACTTGAGAGGTCATCTGTCAACAGTCTCAGCTCTGGTTATTCCTGCTGTTGTCTTCTGGGCTCAAAAAGAGGAATGGGAGGTCAGGCTAATAAAAGACTCTTCCTAAGAGGAATTGACGTGCTTTCCTTCCCAGTAATTGGCTGCGGAAACGTGAAAGCATAGCGTAATTGCATGTTGCTGTGTTTTAATTAGTGCTGAAGCTTATTGCATGCTGCTACCCCAGGTGGCCTGTAAATTCACCACACGCAGAACTACAACAGCCTCTGCTGGTCTGCAGAGAAGAGCTGTGAATCACTGTACATTAGCTGGTTAAAACATCCTCTGTCCACATCCATTAAACCTGCACAAAACTGTCTGTGGGTTGAAGAGAGAAGAAAAGATGCAACTAAAAGAGAAGTTATTTTTTTCCGGACATCTTATTACAAAAAAGACCTGCAATTTGCATTCCTCTGATGTCTGAGAGAGCCAGTTAAGGCACATTTGAAGTGGGAAATCAGTATGTATGTGCATGCGGTGTAGCAGATTTTCAGAAATTGTCAAAATTTGTGTTTAAAAAAAAAAAGCCATGAAACTTTTCCAGTAAATTAGAAAACTAATGAGACATGACTGCAGACTTGCAATTATTTTGACCATACTGCATAACATCACAGTACATCTCATGATATCAAACATACTGTTATTGGATGATAATTAGTAAATAATCAAGGGACATTTGCATGCTTGCTGGTTACAGCTCAGAGTGCATTTGAAGCTTTTATATTCATCTAAATCAGATTCTTGTTTTGGACAACACAAGGCAATTGAAGACATCCAACTTGGGTTTCGAGAGTTTGTGATTTTGTTCTCTTTCCTCACATTTTATAATCTAGATGTAAACTTGTATAATCAATTGTTAGAATAACCGACAAATGAACTGAGAACGAAAATGATCCTTATATATAGCCCTAATCTATATTTTATTATGAACATCTTTTATTATATGTTGTATCAGGAAGATTTAAAGAAATGTCATACAATTCCAAATCTGTATTTTAAGGCTTCAATACTGTAATACTGCCCTGTGAATAGATTACTATAGCCTAATCACTTTGAACACACACACACATACACATCAGTTTATCTTTTCCAAGTTCAAAGCTTTTTTATTTGACCAGAGAACAGAAGAATAACAAAGAATATAGCAATCAATTTACAGCAAACATGTTTAAATAACGTTCCCTTACAGACAAATGAGGTCTGCTCACAAAACCCAAATAGGCACTTGTTTTCATGCTTTGTTAGATATTATAAGAACAAAATGTAAAATGAAGCCCATGTCATGTTTGACAACATGTTGTGTCAAGCAAGGCATGATAGGCTGGGACAATGTAGAAAACAAATATTCAGATCAATTCATTCAAATGTTGTCTCTCCACAGTTGCCCTGCTGCTCGGCCCTGTGCCAGGACTTTGATGTGAGGATCTGGCTGTAAGATCATTTCTTTCCAAACCTCTGGGGCTCCGCCATACTCCAGATCTGACCGGGGGCAGTCTCCCAATCACGGGAATGCATCTGATCCTCCGAGATGACCTGCCCTCTGGAGCCGCGCCCAAACCTGTGAGGGAGGAGAAACAGAGTCAGGTTCTGATATCATTTATGGTTTCAATGATATTCGATAAATACATGTTTATACTCCAAGAAATGCTTATGATAAGGGATAAACATGGGAAAAAATAAACTGAAAATCTAAAAAATACAGAATAATCAATCTTATTTTACTCTTATGTTTGTTCATTTAATTCATCAGAGCAGAAGGGACTTATCTTACATAGGAGCTATGTTAATAATTACATTATAATATTTATACCCCATAAGGCTGAGACCACAATCTCAGTTTAATACATTATCAAATATGTACAATAAAAGAGGTGGTTGCCTCCTAAACATTCACTAACAATTATTACAAGCTTTATGAAATACTATTTTATGTATTTCTAAAATTCTAAGAAATAGTTTCTAATGGGTTACATTTCATTTGGTGCTGAAGCCACCAGTCAAAGATTGGCAGGTTGACATAAATCTATTTCAATTTTCCAGCAGAAGTGAGAATATCTTTGATGCTTGGACTGTTGTTGGGATTAAAACAATACATTCAACATCACCTGGAAATTGGGATGGGCGTGTTTCCCTGTTTTAAACCAATATTGATAAGAAAGGTTTCTCTACAGAATGTTGAAATGGCACAATTATATACATTATTATTTCCTGTGTGATTAATTAAAGTGTACTATATATGTGTGATGAACATTGGCTCTGTGATGGCACTGACCTCTGTGGCTTATGGAGGACAGAGTTCCTGGCTTCTTTCTGAGATCCCAGCAGCAGAGCTCTCAGCAGCGCGGTCAGCAGGCGATCATTAGCGCTGTTATCTGTGTTTTCACTCTCCTGAGCACAGCAGCATACACACAAACAAATGCAATTCCAAGCATCAAAAGCTTGAACTCTGTTTTTGAAATAACCCACAAAATATCCTGGAACAACATCAAGACTCTATTCAATGTTGGGTGCAACTATAACCCCAGGGTTTCTAACTCCAGTCAGGCATCCTGCTGTGGCAGGGGACCTTGAGATGTAGATATCAGTGTGCAAATGCAGAGAGATGCTTCTCATGCCCACTCAGATATCCATCCATCCTTATCTTTATGCAAAATTAAACCCAGATCTGTCTGGCTTTACAAACCACAGTGGGAACATATTATAATTTTCTTCAGTATCTGAATTCCCCTCCTCTTTCCTGCTCTGTCTGTTGACCTCAGAATATCTTACAGTCTATTTCACACTGTTGAATAGAGAGTAACACTATCTGAAATCCAAATGATTTGTGTGATGTAACTTGTTTCATTAGAAAAAAAGGCTCTAATACCATTTACACACTTCATCACATGGAAGTGCCAGACCTCTGAAACATGTCATGACTTCTGGTTGTTCACAGTGTTTTTCATTCAGTCTAAATTAGAGCAAACGACAGATGATATTTCTCAATCCTCAGATATTTATCTGATTAAATAAATAAAAAGTTTAAAGCATTTTTAAATCCTGCCTCCAGTATAATTTAACACACATGCCTGAGATATGTCTCAACATTAGATTTCTATTTTCAGATGCCAAAATGTTGTTGGCAACACAACATGGTGTAGTTCTAATAGTGCATGTTTCCTAGCCACAGCAGGTTAAACTCAAGACTTGAAAAGCAGTGCGAGTGGTTTGTTGTCTCACCAGCCCCAGCAGGTGGTCGGCCATGTTGTCCTCTGAGTCTGGCAGGATGTCATTTTTGTCCAGGCTGCCTTGGACGTGAAGAGCCTGACTGACGCCAGCCATCGCCACAACCAGAGCCAGGAGAGTCACCACTGCAGCTGTGTCCATGGTCTCAAACCGAAGAGAGGTCAGATGAATTCTGATGACAGAAGTAGAGGAAGGACTTTGGTTGTCCGATGGCACCTGTTGACTTCCAAAGGGTCGGCTCCTGTGGAGGAAAGACTTGTCCCGTCGGGGTTAAGTGTCCTGTGCAGTGTCCTGGCCAACTTCAGTGGTGGTAGCATCCTCGACGGGTCTTTTATACTCTGCATGGTCACTGGCTGAAAACCCCCAAGAGAGCTGAAGAAAGATGCTACTGTACAAATGGGGACCAAGGGACAGGATAGAGGAAGGACCAGCCCCCTTATAGGAGACTTAAGCAGGTCCATTTAGCAGGATCAGACCATTAGTGATGACTGTGCATTAGAGTGCATTATTATGTGGCCCTTAGGGTACTGCAACAAAACTCTCCCAGTTATTAAACAGATAAATCCCTGCAAATGGACCCTGATCCACGTTCCCAGTAGTCTGTGTCGTATGTACAGACAAACAGTATGTGAGAACAATCATCACCCACACAAACAAATGTCAATTCTAAACGGATTAGTCCAATCAACTTTAGTTATCTTAGGCAACAACGTAAGGAACTTAAGAAAACATATAACAAAGCAGACGTATGAGGATTGCAAAAGAGAGAGGGTCAGACAATACTGCTTATTAGGTTTTTAATATTTTGCTAAAGAGTTATTGTTTTTACCTAGAGGATATGTCCAACAATATAATTTCACACTTTAGAGTTTACAATTATGTGACCGATTCTTTCATCAGTGAAGGATCAGCCTCACAGTTTTTCTGCTACCGGCATCCCAAATTAATGTTGGCTATCTTTATTTAATTTTAGAGGATAATTTGCTCAAGTCCTGAATCCAAATTATTAAAGCTGAAAATGTAGAAGTATACTAACTACATTTTCAGCTAAATGGTTTCTTTCATTTGAATAATAGAGTTTATATATTCACTGTAAATGCTTTATACATGCTCACTCCAAATGGTTATTGGCAGAAACATAAATTACACGATAGTTCAATAGTAGTGTTATGGCTCATCAAAGTCTTTGCTTACGCATTAGAAGAGATGGTTTAATTAGTTTTATCTTTTTACATGTTGACAAGGGGATTTAAGAAAGACGCTTAGCTCAAAGAAAATACTTTGAAAAAAATAGCTTTTCATTTGTTAAATGCTGGCTTCTTTCATTTTGATAATGAAGACTTGAATTTATGAGATTGACATGTCTTTAAAAATTCTGATGTGTGTGCTTTATCTCTTGCTTTGACTCAGTGTGTGGCAGGGTGTACTCTGTGTGTGAACCCTTGTGTTATAATGAGTTACTTCCCCAATACATGAAGAGACAACAGATTTGACTCATCAAAGTGCCTAATGGGTGACAATCCGCTTAGACAGCAACACACAAACACACACACAAACACACACACATACACACACACACGCACACACACACACATACACTACACACACACACACACACACACACACACACACACACACACACACACACACACACACACACACACACACATATACACACACAAACAGTCTAAATGTCCCTGTTTAACCGCCATGGCAACCAGGATGGCATCTGAAGAATTCTAAAGGGAATTAGTTTTCATCACTCTAATAAGATCATACGACTTTAGATTAGACAAAAATCTAATTGACTCAGTCTGATGTGATAAGTAACATTTATGTTTATTCTCTGATGTTTTGCTTAAGATTAAGCTCATTTAGGACAGAAATAGACACTCAGTATTCACTATAGTATAGTTTCAAAAGTCTTCTCTCATGATGCATATATTATGGTTAATTATACAATCATAGAGGTGTCGATTATATTTTGTTTTAGCACTGAGGATAAAGTTGTAAAGTGTTTCTTTTTCTAGTAAAATAGAAACCCCTTATATTAGGATGTAACACCACCTTCCATTATAGCCTATATAAGAAACCATTTATTTCATTTATTATAATAATTTACACAAAAACGAATCAATATAATCATTTTAAAGGTAGAATCTATCGTAAGTCTATTTAACCTTTTAATGATAGTATAGATATGCAACAAATGTCCCAAGGATGTCGTGGTTATATGACATGCTCTATAACCACTTGACTCTAAAGATGGTACTCCTCATTGCAATTAAATGTACACGTGTAACCGAGCGTTTTCAAAAGCTATTATAGGGTGCATAATTACTGTGTGTCATTAATTTGTTTACTATGAGTTTTAGGCAATTACTGTGATCACACAGTAGGTGTGTATCGATTTATCTCAGTTTCAATCAAATATCAATCAAACATTTATTCAACATCACCTAATGTCTGACTGGAGTACAGTATCAGGAACAATGCAACAAGCAGGTTAATATAATCCCTCTAGGAAGTTTTATAACTATTTATACAAAGGTCATGATGTCTTCTGGTGAAATATTTTTACATTTCAGTAAAAAAATAAAATGAAGTTATTAACCTTATAATAATAAAGTATCTAATTCAGTCATACATTACAGTATAGGGTGTCATTTGAGACCACGTTTTCACAAATTCATTTTATAAACTGGCTTATGAATTATACTTCATAAGCCAGTTTTAGTTCTTATGAATGTTTTGCTGATATGCAACAAAGGTCCCAAGGATGTCGTGGTTATATGACATGCTCTGTAACCACTTGACTCCGAAGGTGGTACTTCTTACTGCAATTAAATGTACACGTGTAACCGAGCGTTTTCAAAAGCTATTATAGGGTGCATAATTACTGTGTGTCATTCATTTGTTTGCTATGAGTTTTAGGCAATTACTGTGATCACACAGTAGGTGTGTATCGATTTATCTTAGGTTCAATCTAATATCAATCAAACATGTATTCAACATTACCTAATGTCCATCTTATTTTGTATTTCTTATTACAGAAACATCAATGTGAGACAAAGAGCTTGAAACAAACAAACTACTTGTAGAAGGTACTAAGTCAAAAATATGTTGTCTTTGTATCGCTTTAAACATAAAGCTGAAGGAAAGAAAATCTAGAGTGTAGAATTGAGAATTATTTGTATTTCTATCCAACCCATGGTCTTGAGAAGGTCTAACACCTACTGGTTCAGCCTTATGTAGCTGCTGGTATTTTAGAAACCATGTATTACCAGTTTAATTATCATGCTTGTAGCACGTTAAAACAGGAAATTAGCCGAGGATTCAAAGCTCTGTCAGTCTGACCTTGAGTTGACCTGTTCTTTTATAACCCAGAGCACAGTCTGAGCTCCTGGCCTGTGATATATCCTGAAGATGTTTTTTATTATAACATCAAATAACCACTCTGTATCTTTACACCTGATATTGTGTTGACACACACAACATTTATAAAATTGTATTCCGCTGAATCAAAAGAGTATTTTCATAAAAAACATGTTGCTTCTTTTTTTTAACATTGAGAATAGTGCTTATGGTGAAATGTGTCTCATTTTGACACATTAATATCTCATTACGAGGTGATGGGCAAGATTACCATAAGGAACAGAATAATGCACATTCATATCTGGGCTATTGCTTATATTGCCTTGAAAAGTTTTAGTTTCCATCGTGTAAAAGTCAACATTTACATACTATCAGTATTCATTTATTTTGGCTATCACACACAGTATATCTTTTTTTAATAAAAAAATCATAAATAGCACAGAGACCAAAGTTTTTTGTTTTTCAGACGTTTGCCTCCCTCCAGTGTTCTCTGAGTGAACTGCAGGCTGACCAGTAACCTCTCACTGATGTGGGTGAATTAGATTAGATTAGATTTATTGTCTCCAGGGGGAAATTCCTTTTCACAGCACTGTACACAGTATAGGCCTACATGAAATATATAAACAACAAACAATGACACCGACAACAACAGATGGTGACACACATGGCAGTTACATTTAGCGAGGCCTGTTATTTATGGCAGAAATGGCTGCCGGAACCAAGCTTTTTCGAAAGCGAGCTCTTTTATGTCTGAGTGTTCTGTACCTACGTCCGGATGGCAGTGGGGTGAGGTACTGATGAGTGGATGTGTGATGTCCAGTTCTATTGTGGATGCGATGCGTGAGATGGCCCTGTTGTTAAGTATTGTGAGGTTGAGTGTGGGGAGTCCAATTATCCTGGCAGCAGTGTTGGTGATATGTGTGAGCTTTGTCCAGTTGGTGACAGTGAACATATTGAAAAAGCAGGCGGAGCAGTACATGAGGATGGGTTGATAATGCTTTGATACAGTAGAATGCAAGGTGTGAGAATAACAAAGCAATATCAGATGGGTTTATTTTGTTTCTTTTTATTTTATTTACAATGTTAAACAGTGCAGCCAAACATAAAATAAATAAAACACTTAGTCATGACCAAAAATAGGGAAGGGGGGGGGGGGCAGAACAGCAACAGGAGCTTCATGCAGCTAATACAAGATTGTCCAGCAATACCTTCAAAAACAAGCTGACTCTTCATGCTTTACAGCCACTTCATCGACCCAAATTAGATCCAAAGAAAGTTCGTCTTGCTCCTTGCCAACATGTCCTGCTCTTCTTGAAATATTCTTTCCTCTCTCCATGTTGGTTAAATGTTAGAGGGATTTTTTTTTTTATCCAGAGGTGTCAGCCACTTTTACAACAAGGCACTTGTACGCAGTTAGAAATGTCAGTGCTGAAATGAATGTACCATCTTACTCCGGCTGCTGTGACTGGAGTACAGTACCAGAAACAACGTAACAAGCAGGTTAATATAATCCAACTAGGCAGTTTCATAACTATTTATACAAAGGTTATCATGTCTTCTGGTGAAATATTTTTACATTTCAGTCCAAAAATAAATGGAAGTTGTTGAAAACCTTATAATAATAGAGTATCTCATTCACTCTTACATTATAGGCTGTAATTTGAGACCACGTTTTCACACATAATCATTTTATAAACTGGCTTATGAATTTAAATGCTTACACTGTAAATGTTCAGGCCATATTTTAAATATTGCTCTGCTTTCATTACATATTTGATCTCCATGCGGCTGCAGTGCTATGGGCGTGGCTGTTATAGGTTGTATTGTTCTTATTCAAGTTCACTCAGGCAGTAACCTATTGATGTACAGTACATTTGACTGACACATAAACAAAAACTATAATGACGTAAAAATGCATTTCGTTTCCTTGAATGAAACCCAGACACATTCAGTGTTCTGCAACATAAAACTTCACTGATATCTTACATACTGACATTTTTACAATGTCCACCAGTGCTAAACAAAATCCCCAAAAATCATTTATATAAAAAAAGAAGAATTTCTTTCATTGCCCATATTAGTCGTCAGTCTTACAGTAGTTAAGGCAAAAAGTAGTCTTCGTCACGGGCAGTGTCTTCTTCATCAACAATGTCCAGTGTGTCTGTATGCATCTAATATTATACCGTATGTTTGTGCATTCATGCATGTCTTTGAGTTGTGATTTTCTGTCCTCATTTGTCCTCAGGAAAACAGTGAAGTCCATGTGAGCATCTTTCTGAAGGCTGTTATTATTTGGAGCTGCTAGACTGGTCCTGATACTGTTGTTGGCCTGCAGTAGTAACTGTTACACACTGATATAGATGCACAGAGTAAATAGACTATGCAAGGCCAGCCATCAGTGGGCTACAGAGAGTATAGATCCAGTCACAGTGCAACAGGCCATAAGTATGCAAGTACTGACACAGTACAGAGTGCACAAGATGTCACAATCTCAGTCTATGTTCACCATTTTTAGTCCGTTAGTTCCAATGCAAAGACAGAATGAGTGCCACACATGGTGATTTGAATTAATTCAGTCAGTCAGTGCTTCAAAGCGAGTTATGAGGTCCGGTCGCTCCAGTGCGTGGCCCATTCCTTTTTATGGACAACTCCTGACTTCTCAGTCTGGAACTGTGGCCGGTCTTCGCGAGGAATCTTCACCGCGTGGTACTGAGGCAACTTGTCTTTGTAGTGAGCCCGCTGGAAGAAGCCACACTGTGGGCAGAGGAAAGAGGAAAACAGGGAGGAGTGCAGATAGAGGAAGAAAGGGAGGGAGAGACAGAGAGACAGGACGGAAGGAAAAGACAAATTAACTTAAGTCATATATAGTTATTGCAAATTCCACACAAATTGCATGCATTTGTTTGCAATTATTTCATTTGTTTAACTTCAAATGTCATGCACGAGGCGTATACAATGTAATTAGTTCTATTAAAGTCTTGTAGTTCATCTCAAACAGATAAAAGTGATTATCTGCTGACCATGTGCAGTTAAGGTGACATTTTAATAAAAAGGCACCCAAAGCACATCAACATGCTCCACATTTCAAATTCAGCATCATCCTTTAGTGTCCGTGACTAAAACCCAAACACGCTGCCATCAAGAAGAAGTGCCCACATTCATGTGACAAAAACACCTGAAGATGTTAATGACAAGTAAACTTTAAAGGTCCCATGACATGGCCAATTCTACTGATCATAATTCCATTGTTGAGGTCTACTAGAATAGATTCACATTGTGCAATTTTCCAAACTCACATTGGTTTCTCATACAGCATCCCTGTATGTAGTATGTGTATTCACTGAATTTCACTCTCCTAAACGCCTTGTTGGAGCTCCTGCCCCCCCCCCCCCCTCCCTGTGAGCCCAGTGTGCTCTGATTGGTCATCTCGCTGCTGCGAGGAGCTGACAGTGTGAGCTGGCTTACTGGTGTGGTTTCCTGCTTGCTGCGAGACAGCGAGACATCACGAATGGACGCGGGAAGGGGGGGGGGGGGGGGGGATGCTGAGGGGGCCCATCTCCGAGGCTCCACTAGCACCCGCATCCCCCCCCCCCGCACCCCCAAACGCGGCGCACCTATCGCGCCACAGTTTCGCCGCGCTGCGAGGCTCCACTATCAGCCCCCCCCTGCCGCTAAAAGAGTGTGTGTGTGTGTGTGTGTGTGTGTGTGTGTGTGTGTGTGTGTGTGTGTGTGTGTGTGTGTGTGTGTGTGTGTGTGTGTGTGTGTGTGTGTGTGTGTGCGTGTGTGTGTGTGTGTGTGTGTGTGTGTGTGTGTGAGGAGCTCCACGGAATGGCTCCATTTGGGTCGTCGTTACGTCACTTAGTACCAGGAAGAAAAAGAGAAATCTCCAACGAGGCGTTCTGGGGCAGCATAGACAGGTCTTTTCTGTGTTAGAGTTTTACTCGCTACACGGTGTACTTTGAGGGTTTGTGACTCTGCAGACCGTTTACATTCAGAAAAAGCTACATAACACACAAGGGGACGGGTAATAACCAGAAAAGCATGACATGGGACCTTTAACACCTGACAATAAGGCACTTTTTTGATATGTCACACAGGAGTGTTAATATACTGTATTAAAAAGCGCATGACAAGCACATCACAAAATGACAAGTCTCCATAGACCGGTGTAGCTAATTAATCTGCCACGTCAGCAGCAGAGGCACGACACACAGCACAGCAGGCATCTGAAAAGCCCTGCCAGAGAGATGGATGGATGGTGTTCATAGGCACCAAACAATGCTAAACAATAAGAGTTCTGGTTTAATTTAATTGTGCCAATGTGTGTCAATATTTCACACTGAAATGAACACCACCAGCCACACCAAAGTGCACAACACAGCCATTGTGTGTGAATGTTTTACCGCTTGGAGGGAGAGGAGGAGGGGAGAGCAGGCCAGAGTGAAATATATCTTTATATTATAGTTCTGACGCCTGCTTCTCCGCCTCCGAGGGTTGGACCCCCAAATGGGCGCGGTAGTACTCTGTGTCATAGTGCCGGCGCCGCTCACTGCGCTTGAAGAAGCCACACTGGGCAACAGATCACCAAAGGGAAAGTAAAACAGATGAGAACCAATGGGAAATGAAAGAGGAAGGGGATTTGAGTCCCAGATTGAAGTGAGAAGACACAAACACAAAGAGAGGACACACAGAGGACAAACAAGAGGAAAGAAACAGATGAGAGTGAGCTGGAAGTAATAAAATGATTAGGACAGAACAAAGCTGGTAGAAATAATTGGACTACCATGGAAATAAATGAGGAAAAAGACAAAGGAAGGGACAGTGGAGTCTTATGGGTATGCTGAATGTGAATATAATCAAGAAAAAAATATATATATACAGGATTTTGACACATAGGGCACCCCCAAACGCGGCGCACCTACCGCACCACAGTTTCGCCGCGCTGCGAGGCTCCACTATCAGCCCCCCCCCTGCCGCTAAAAGAGTGTGTGTGTGTGTGTGTGTGTGTGTGTGTGTGTGTGTGTGTGTGTGTGTGTGTGTGTGTGTGTGTGTGTGTGTGTGTGTGTGTGTGTGTGTGTGTGTGTGTGTGTGTGTGTGTGTGTGTGTGTGTGTGTGTGTGTGTGTGTGTGTGTGTTACCTTCCACAGTATGCAGACTAACAGAGTCAGCAGCAGGATGCCTGCCAGGACAGCTATGAGTATGATCCACCAGGGGATCCAGTACTGATCAGCAAGACCCGGCTCAGGGTAGATCATTACTGGAACCTGGAGAGGAAGGAAAAATGCAATTGTTTATATGCAGAATTGAAATAAAAATAGTATATATACTACACCTCAGGCCTCAGTTCACATATATTTGTTATGATAATAGATTAAGAACGTTTAAATAAAATAAAGATAAATGCTCTATGAACTGATGCTAAGTACCTGTGCAGAAGCATCTTTGAGGACCAGGTGTTTGATGCTGGACTTCACAGTGATGTTGGCTCTGACCAGCAGTTCCAAAGCACTGACCGCCGAAAAATCCTGACAGACAGGATGAATAATACAATTTACAGGTTATATCACATCATATTAAAACAGGCAAGGATGCCTTCATATGAAAGTGGACATTCTGTTGTTTTATAACTTAGTCTTTCAGTTTGAACCATCATTGATATACAGTATAATAACGTTGACTAAAACTTTAGAAATAAGACCCATTTTAAAGTGGACCTATCATGCTATATTTGAATAATATAGTGTAGGACCATACCTATATAAGGCATATTTATACTTTTTTTTTTTTCAAAATACCAAACAGATCATGCATTTTAGCCATGCCTCATTTTGCTCAATTTGACAATTTCTAGCTCTGGGCAGATTCTGTGAGAACAGCACCATCTACTGGCCTGACATGTACTACAGCGTCTCCAGCGCTTTCGAACGGCAATGGCCGTGGCGGTCTCCTCCTGATTGGTGGAGTTGGCCCAATAGCCGTAGCGCCACCGTCCTGACGTCAGGACAGTGTTCAAATCTGGATCAGTTTTTATCAGATCCGTTGCAGCCCCTTTTTTAGAGATTTGGGTATGGAGGAAAATAGAGAGGGTTGTGTTTTCTGACACTTGGTGAGTTCCCTGGAACACCGGGGACACATATTCATGTATAAAAGACGTACAAAAGTGCATTTTGCATGATAGGTCCCCTTTAAGTAATACAGTCTGCGGCGACATCTTGATTTATTTGGCGATAAGCTAAGGACTAAACAAGAAAACTGCCATGTTGACTGTATATTTCTTGTCACTCTTAGATATCATCTGAATATGTATCAGCAGCTGCCAGTTTCTCAGTGGTCGAAGCTGACAGCTGTCTTCACAGTTTTCCTACTGCCTTCACATCAAAGCTCGTGTTAATCATCCTGTAAATGCACTTGCTGCAGTCATCATTCATTCGCTTCACATGTGAGTGCCGGCAGCAGTTGCAAACAGCTGGACTGAAGCTAATAATGTGCAGTGAGGTGCAGATGTAAAGAGGACAGGTTTCTTTTATTTACCTCTATAAAGCTGCTGTTCCACAGTCTGGCATGGATCTTGAGGACAGCCTGACCAGAGAAGCTGTGGAGGGGACACTGCAGCAGGACACAGCGAGCGGACCCCAAGAGACAGTCCTGGAGAAAGGGGTGACAGTTTAGCACTGTAGGATTTATTTTTTCAAATTAACTGGTGACAGGTGTAGGCAGCAACATTTTCCTTTCCCTCTTACCAGTTTGAGCGACTTGCGTCTCTCCGAGGCTGCCACAGCTGGCGTGGTTCGTCTCACGCTGCCTTTTGTCGTCATTGGACCTTCCTCCTCTGGGTGGGAGCGGCGCGTTCGCCCAGCCTGGTGGAAGTGACACATACAAGCAGAGATGAATCAGCCTCCTTTGATGAGTCATGTTTGACAAAAGGCCTTAAACATGACATTGACACGATGTACTGTATGTAACACAGGAGGAAAATGTTTCAGTCATGACAACGACACATTCGTTTATATGCAGTTGCATCCACAAAATATGGTATGTATACAGTATATTTTGTAAGGAAAGGATTGTTTTTGTCATCTAACACATCAACACATTTTCAGCACAAATTCTTGAATTTCTGCAGTCAGAAACACCAGAATGTAGACCAAATAAAGAGTTTTTCTATTGTATGGTACTGTTTTATTAATGGCATACAACTAACTAATATAAATAATACATATTTAAAAGCCAAAATAAAACAATCGACTGCACCTTCCGTGGCCATTAAGTGGATGCAGATTGACTGTGCTGTCTTAATTGGTGGTGTCGTATAGATTTCCTTGCCAATTAGTCAAATAAACTGTGCTCTGCTTACCCTTATATTAACAGCCTGTTGGAGTCCTGCAGGTGAAGAAATGGGTAGCTTCAGAGGATTTAAGGCCCCCGTTGCGGTGCACTGTGTTTCTGGGTGACCCTCAAACTTCATGCTTGCGGGATACAGGAGCCATTTCTCATTAGCCAGCTCGTAAGGCCACATGATGTTGAGGAAGGCCGAACCAAGCGTCTGCAGAGCTTGTCCGGTATTAATCACCTGATGTAAAAAATATATAAAAGAGATTATATTAGGATGTGGGACTTCTTTCAGCATTGATGCCAATCAAAATAACACACACGCACACACACTAGTTCCTCACCACAAACTCAAAATCCACAGGGCTGCCGATGTCCTCCAGACTGGCCATGGCACTCTCTCCCCTCACTGTCCCGCTGAAGAACAGCTGGTGAGGACGAGCAAGCCTACAGTAGAACACATTCACATCAAGGGGTCAGACAGCTGCACACATTCACAAAGCTGCATAAAGCATACATGCATTGCACCGAAAACCTCAGTTAACATTTTTGATGAGATCTGAACGATTCTAAAAGATACAAGCTAAATGTTGTGGAATGTGATGCACACAATATATAGAATATACCAGTGTAAACATCACATAACGTCTATAAAGAGTTGTAAAATGCCGATACATAATAACATAACTTTAGCAAAATGTATAATAGCAACCTTTCCTAGCCTCATACAGATTTAACAGAGATAAAAAAAAGAAAAAGGTTTCACTCACCCACTGACAGACAGAGGGAGCTCTATCACAACTCTAGCAAAAGCTGTGACTGGTACCAGATCGGGCTGCTCACTGATACTGAGGACAAAACAACAAAACACTGTCATCAAAGGGTTATTTGGCCTGAACAAGTCAAATATTAGCACTTACAGTATAGAGCTTGATGTGCTTGATGTTGTGAAAATACATACATACTGTATACATCATGTTTTCAAGAGAACATTTTAGAGGACTTACGTTGTCAAAGCGAGATCTGCTGTCAACTCAGTGGTCTCAATTGTAATGTTTGATGTGCTCAAGTTGATGGAGAATTTAAGCTGAAATAGCAACAAATGAAATATAAATGATATGTGAAAATAACAACACATAATTTCTCTTAATGCTGAAATTATAAAATTCTGAAAATATATGAAATGATCTAAAAACATATACTGTATATATTTTTCCACCACAAGTTACATATTTCTTTCCTGATTTCTCCCCATTTCCCCAAAGTTTTTGCACTTTTGTTTGTATTACACATTGGTAATTTGGAGTTGAATGGGTTAGAGACAGGTGACAACAAGAAGCAAAGGGCTACATGTCTGAATTCACACTCTTTTGTTTTCGTACCTTAGTGTCGCGTTTCACAGGGTTTCCGAGGTCACATTCGACTTGGGAGCCATTCTGGTTTGCCTGGCATCTAATCTAGAGACAGATAGCATATCAAAAAAATACTATCATTACAAACAGATATCCAAACATACTTGGTAAAAAAAGAGTGTTCTTAATAGAGCAGATACCTGTGGTGGGATCCTTGAGCCGGCGTAAGACAGAGTGTTGGGGAGGGAGATGAGCAGCTGAGCGGCGTGGGCGTCGTCTCCGTCCTCCTCGGGGTGCTCAGGGTCAGAGGGCGTGTTGGTGACAGTGATCTCCAGCACCACCAGCCGATTGTCCGACAGCGAGAACACCTGCACTTCATCGTCATCTCTACATGAGGAGAGAGGGGAAAACACATTCATGGTTTTCTTGAGAAAAAATGAAAAAACGACATCATTGCACTTTGAAGTAATCTAACATGATTGTCTTCTTTATGAGTTGGATAAAAAAGATATGCACCACCTTATAATAAGTCAAACTTTTGGGCATATAATTTGTTAAATTCCTCTTTTCAAGTCTCTCTTCACGAGCACTTTTTACATTTAAAGCTAGTTTTAAAAAAGATATCTGTTTGAAAGTGATTCAAAATGACAGTATGATAACCTTTCAAAGGGACATAGCACCCTTTAAGTGTCTTAAAGGATTGAAATTGAAATAATAGGGCTTAGTATAAAGCCAACCATATAAATTGATAAATCCTTTAAAGATAACGTTCCTAAATATTATCCTGTACCAAAAGATACATTTAAAAAACATGACATTTAGAATCCAGTGAACGCCAGGATAACATCCATTATACGGTAAGATAAGATGTGAGTATTGAAAGGCATCGAGCAAATGTTTCTGGTTGATGCTCGTTCAACACTAAAACAATTTGTACACACTATAAAAACAGACACACGTGAACGTTTGTGTTGGTGTCCCTAGGAAACAGTCTAGCCCACACAGAGTGGGCTGAGCAGACACTTACTTTGGCAGTGGGGTGAAGAGGTCGGAGGTCAGGGGTCTTGTTCCAAACTGGTAGCTCAGCTTCAGGTTGCTCTGGCAGATCTTGTCGCTGCCGCATCCTTCTCGCAGGAAGTTCACCTGCAGAGGGTAAAAGAGGAAGACGTGAAGTACTTTTTTTAAATCTCAAAACACAATCTTCGTCTACTGTCAGGTTTTTAAAACAAGATTACATTTTTGTAGAATGGTAAATACTGAAATGGTGCATTATACAAAACATTTTGATTGCATTTAAAGCTGAACATGGAGCCAATAATACATACACAAAGTGTATTTAATTTATTTTGGTTTCCAAATATTGGATAGAACAAGACACTTAAAGTTGTTACCTTTAACTTTAAGAAACAAAGTAAGTGATTGAGAAGAAATTGTATTTTTGTAAATGTTAACCGCTTGCAGCCCTTGTTGCATTACACGGTTTTAATCATAATGCATAACATCTCTATTAAGCAGCAGACATGTGGTGGTTAAAAGGAGAACAACGAAAACAAATGAAGCGATACATGTTTAGACTGTATCCCCATGTTTCTACAACAAAAAGGAATGCTGCATGTTTATCAATGTTAATGTTCTAAACACAAATTGTCAGCTAGGTTTGTTTATATGTAATATTTGAGACTTTCATAAGCCATGACAAGTTTGACTTACATAAGAATTAAACAGTTGATAGGAAGTTTTTCATTTCTGTATAATCTAATCTACATGCAAGTGTGGCCCATTAAAATTAATCAAGACAGTAAAATACTTGAGCTTTCTTTTGTTACAGACCTCAGAGTGCAGCGTATTGGACGGGGAAACACTCAGAACAGGCGCCAGCTTCTCCAGCTTCTTGGCACCCGAATGTCTGCGGGGGGGCACAGGCTTGATCTCGTGGGTTATCGCCAATGAGATGGGGCGCAGTTTGTCAAGGATGTTATCCTGCATGGACAGAGATTTGAACCAAATTTAACAAAAATATTTGGTCAAAGAGTTTGTTTATGGTGTGAAAGAGTGGAGATATAGCAATTTAACTTTATAGTAAAAATATTGAATGTAAATTAAATTCAGTACAAATGGTAGAATGTTAAAAACACGCTATATACTTTTACCATTTTTATTAAGTATTATGTTTCCACCACTTTTGAATGCAAAAACGAAGATCAAAAACCACCTGCTATTGTTAACAAATAACTCAAACTAAGTACAAATCCCTTATTCCACTACCACAACAGCTGTGGTTGATGAATTGTATCTGGACAACAGATCTAAGTTACTGACATGGAGCTGGAAGGTAGCGGTGGTGCACACAGGGTGTCGCTGCCGATGGAGCTCCACCTCTTCTGTCTGAGTATACTCCGGCTCCAGGGAACTGCGTCCCAGGAAGTTAACACGGTGTGGGAGGCCCAACTTCCTGCGCTCGGTGTCAGCTTCAAAGTGCACCACCAGGGCTGGATGGGAGTAAAAAACAACAAGAGAGAAGGAAAAAATGTCAGGACACACACATAGAGCTGTTAAAGAGCCCACCAGGGACAACACATAGATGAAGCCCCATCAGAGGGAATACAGTATTACACAGCTGTGATTTTTATCAAAATAAAGTCTAATGTTACTCCACACACAGATAAGGTTGCTTTTCACTGTAAATAGAAATGACTTCCGTCCCACTTAAGTGACGAACAAAAATGGTCTTGGAAAGCGAGGAGTGACTTACTTATGTGCGGGGAGTAGTGTTCTGGGTGGGCTGTGAAGGTGAAGCAGGCCTTGACCTCCACGCTAAAAAAGGCAGACAGTGGAAAGCGTAAATATGTATATCTGTTATACAGTAGTTTAACCACTACATATGATTGAGATGATCCATTAAATCATAGAGAAAAACATAATTCAAAAGAAGAATGTGTCCCAATATAAGCTCTTACCAGGCTCCCTCTCGGCCCTTGCAGTTATGCTGCTCCAGATCAATGTACTGAGGGTCGATAGATACTTCTCGGAGCACATGGATGACTGGGCGAGACCTTGGGATGGATCAAAAACACAAGAGTGTGTCAGGTAGAACACATTATGACTTAATTGTGGTTTCATTGTGAAGAAAAATGCAAGTAAACATGCAAGATTTATGATAGAGCTTTTATTTTGTGTGCTTCTTGAGTGTCTGCTTTGATTTGGAATTGATCAGATTTATCAACAATAGGATATTTAACATTGAGCTTTTATATTTCAAATGCATACCAAGTAAAGTATTTTGTTCTGTTTTTCTAAATGAATCTCACCTGAAGAGAACCACTGAGTCATTAAGAGAGCCCACGGCGATATCTGGGTAGTGGTTACTGTCAATATCCAAACCCCCTGAGATGGAGTATCCAAATCGTCTCACATCAAAGTCACGACCATCCAGTACCTGATGGTACAAAAAATAAAGATCATTCATCATAGTTGAAGATTTAAAAACTAATAAATAAACCATGTCCATCATATAATGATGGAAAATTGGTACTGTCCCTCTTGTCTTCACTTATTCTAAATGTATACTGCACTATTCATTTTATATTCTTCATTCTATATTAACTTTCAATCTCTTGGTTCATTCCTAAACTGTCTACAACTCACCTGAGCTGGCTTTGTTTCAATTCCAGCATCTGAGCCTCTGTAGATGAACACTTTGCCATCTCCATCAAACGGTGCCCCAACAGCAATATCTGAACAGATATGGAAATCATTGTTAAAAACAAGCATTCATTTAGTTAGCTACAGTTTACAGCTGAGTAGTTTAAAACCAACACAGTATGAAAAGTGGGAAAGGCGTTAATGCTCAAATAGTGTTAGTTGAGACTGAAAAAACTCTTTGGACACTTCTTTCTTTTATTATATTATAGGCTATATCCGAAGTTAAAGTATAACCCACAGCAGTGGCAGCAGTAACTTGTGCATGTTTTTTCTGACTTAAATGTCGTAGTTATTTTTTAATATACATATTTAATGTCAAACTCTTACATACTTTATCAGTGTATGAGATTGTGGGTTGTTCTCACCTCCGTACCCGTCCTGGTCCAGATCACCGATGTTGCTGACTACCATTCCAAACATGGAGTCGTAGGTCCCGTTGAGACGGATGGGTCGGGAATGATCGTCCCAGTGACCGAAGGGGTTCAGGTACACGTACACAGCCCCTCCAATCTCTGCCTTACGGTCAAAGAAGTTAGGAGCTCCAACAATCAGGTCTGTCCAGCTAGGGACAGAAACAGAGAGTCAGAAGATGTCTTTTAATTCGAGTTCTTAGAAGCCAAGAAAACCTCTTATCCAAAACCAAAAGTACTATTTGAAGGTACTTTACAAGTATATCTAATTTCTTGCAACTTTATACTTCTGCTCCACCACATTTACAAGTGCAAATGTTGTACTTTCCTCCACACTACATTTCGTTCACAGCTGTATGGTTGCTTGTTACATTTAGATTAAGATTTTACAGTACATATACAAAATGTGCAATAACCTTTAAAATATGATGACTACTTAAAATCATATAAAGTTTTTAAATTAGCTTTACCTCAACCATACAGTAAAGTACTGTAATATAAATTAATCCATGATTCTTCCAAAATGTTGAATTTAAAGGTGGGGTAGGTCATTTTGGAAAAACCAGCTCGAGTGCGCTAGAATTTGAAAATACACAGCCGGAAAAAATCTGCCACTTCCTTACAGAGCCCCTTCTCCAACACACACAAACGCGCACATGACCAATGAGGGCACGAGATAAGTTTGTGCACAGATGGAAGGCTGACAGGCAGGTAGGCCATCCAGTTATTTTAGCCGGGCCGGCTAAAATGATTGGTCGTGCTTTTTACAGTATTACGGCTTCCACAGATGACATTTTTTTATGGATTTTTTGTCAAAGCATTTAATATATTCATTGCTATCGGGATGTTAAGAGCATTCCATGAAATAAATTACATAGCCCACCTTTAAAGGGGCCATAGTTTCTAATTAGTATTTTTTACTCTTAAGGTAAATCAGCTGAAAATATTTGTATTTCAAAATAAAAATGACAGGAAAACTTCTTCAACAACTGACCAGTATTATCTATTAAACAATTATCATCCAGCATGTCCTCACCCGTCCCGGTTCAGGTCCGTCGTAGCAACGGAGTACCCAAATGACGAGGCCAGCTCCTCGCCCCAGATGATGTGTTGTGGCACCAGCCGGTACACGTTGTCTTTTTTTAGCAGCACCACTGCCCCCGTGTGATTGGCCCGAGGTGCACCTGCCACGAAGGTCAGCTCCCTGAGGCTTATTATCCCCATGGCAGAGTCCACAGAAAACCCTGGAAGACGGAAGTCAGGACGGAGGAAAGGGTCAGCGGTTAGTATTGACCTCAGAGGCTCTCCTCTCTGTGTAGCATGTTCTGCTCATCTTCTTACTAATGAAATGTGTGCCTTAAGTGACTATTGATTTTATGCCAGACTCATGATGGGTGTAAATGTCCTGTGTGCATGTGTTCGAAGGCGCATGTAGCTGGAGGCCTGCGATTGGTTGTGTGTCCACTGGTAAGAGCAGAAAAGGCGGGTTGTGATGTTAAGAGAGGGAGATGTATGGGGCTTTGCCTAATGTCCCATGAGATTCATGATGCTACTGCTCTGTATCAGTGCCTGAAGTCAAGGCAGGATGTAAACATAATGGGTGGACGTTAATCAGATTTATAACCTAAAGCATCCCTCTTTTGTGTGGAAGTGTGGGTCTTCATGTGTGTGTTTCTGTGTGTGTGTAGAGGAATGTGTGCATAAATCAGATGGAGCAAAGTGACCAAGTGAAAGGGGGAGGGGTTAGTGTGTGTTTGTGTGTGGGTGTATTAGCTTCATGACAAATTGTGAAATATTCGTATAAAGCTGTGAAAAATAGCACATCATATCAAACATTTCCCCTAAATAGAAGCAACCACATGCAATTTGCCTCACTTGTTTCAAAACATGCAGAGGATAGGGTGTGAAATCATCTATGATAACATGAGGGGGGGCATCTGTTAGTGCTGAGCACACATGCAGGGGGAGACGGGACAAACAGTGAGCAGCTCCAGGGTGGCAGGTGAGGAATGCAACACTGTGCATCTCAAGTCCTGTAAAAACCCACGGACAGAGACCAAATGTGTTGCTATTCCACACCGGGCGGCTCTATAAAACTAAATGGGGAATAAAGGCTTAAGGCAGTAAAAGGTTTCTAAAAGGCCCGCTGCAGGTGTTTACACACAAACATGGTGTGTATTGTATACACTGTTATTCTTTCCTTCACTGCTACTTTTATATAATCTACTTTCTTCTATTGTATTCCTTATTTTAGTTTATTTCTTCATGCCACACTAATGTAATGATTTGAACTGTTTATACATTACCAGTGTGTGTTGTTGAAAAAAATGGCAACTGCATTTCATTTTTGCAAGCCTGAGCAGTTTAATCACAATAGAGCTACACTTTGAGGCTTAGTATTTGGTTTCATTTTAAATGATTTAAATTATTGCTTTTTGTTCAATCAAATATAAAACTCATTATTACAATTTTGAGGAGCACTTACTTTAATCCCGTTCTGTGGAAGGTGCATCCTTAATGCCATGTTCAGTTATAGATACCCTTGTCTTTACAACTATTAGCATTAATATATATTGTTTGCCAAATTGTATTATCAGTGCGCTCTCCGAGCACAGATTGCCATTTATATTTAATATTGTAGTGTACTGTCTTGTCACAGCGGCAATATCTATCAATTGTTAAAATTATGTATTGTCTCTTTACACTTTACTTTTGTTTCTGTTCTATACTACTAAATTTGTAAATACATTTTTACAAATTGCTAGAAATAATCACTGTTTTTTCCATTCCATTTTTTGGTACTCAAGCTAAATAAAGTCAAAACTAAATGAAGTAAAGATCATGATTATTGCTTTGACCAGAGCAGTAGATGTAACACATTGTACAGGATCAGACTGTATTTTCTCATATTGTCTTTATCTGTAAATGGAAAACTGGACCACATTTTCCAAGGATGTTGCACTTGGCATTAGACCTCCAAACACCCTGCAATAAGCAATATTTTCTTTTCTATTCTCTCTGAAAGGATTTGATTTGGCCTTGGTGGAGATCAAAAGTATGGATCTTTTTATTTTCAGCTCTTTGTAACATCATTTATGGTTGAAGCCACTATATACAGTATGAAAAAATAATCCTTTGATAAGTCTGATTCAAAGACGGTTAGGAAATAATATCATGAATAGCTAAACACTGCCTCTATCATTTCAGTAAGCATGCAGAGGTGTGGCATAGCATCTGGTTAGGATCAATGGAACATGTGAGTTATAAATGAGAGGTAAAAGGTCATGTGGGAATTAGCGTTGTCAAGGAGACGGCTCAATGTGGAGAGCGGCAGGGTAAGCAGGCTTGGAGGTATGTGAATGAAAAGATGTATGGTAGATCCACACACTTAGTGAAAAGTAATAACTGGAACAATAAAACAGCTTGTGTTAAGCAGGCGAAGAGTCTTCACACATGGACACTGAATACCTAGAGATTTGTAATATATTGTAACAAAACAATCTTTACTCCACCACTTGGATCCAGACTGAAATATCTCAACAACCTTTGGATGAGTAGCCATTTTTAAATACATCCATGGTCTCCAGAGGATAAAGGAGGGCATTAATTGTTTTGAATGTAATGCATCTGCAATTATTATATTGATGCTTTGACATGTTGTTCACACATTGATGATACCCTCAGGATGAATAGTAATGATGGAAACCTCTAAAACTAATGACATTCGCTTCACACTCGGCTGTACTTTATTTTTAGAGCTAATGTTAGCATGCCAACACACTAAACTAAGAAGATGAACGGTGTAATTATTATACCGGCTAAACAACCACTTTGCCAAGTACAGACTCTCAGAGCTGCTAGCATGGAGGTACAATCTTTGTTTTGTTTGTTAGTTGAGTTTTTCGGTATCATTAAAGCGATTTAGTAAATCTATGACTGACAAGAAAACCACCACCAACTGGAAAGCTTCTTACCCACACACATGCAGACTGACTGAACACACTACAGACAACAGATATCTACAGACAGAACAGACAAACACCCCGCTGCTACTCAAACAGACAACCATCGCACTGCCATTGACAAATCAAAAAGCTATAAACAAAGAGGAAAAGATTATCATAAATAAATGAAATTGAATTAAGTTTAATTAAATTAGAATAAATTAAATTAAATTAAATAGTAAAAGTGGAAAAAATGCAGTTTTAGATGGCTGTCTCTTTATAACAGTACAGGTGATAAGGTCCCATGTAGTACATCAATTACACACTAAAAAAACTATCTGGAATTAGCAGAAAAGATTGAGACGCAGACGGAGGAAGACGGAGGACTACTTCCACTACAAGCCCAATCCGGTCCAAACAAAAACACTGCACGCCTACAAACCTAAGTAGCTATTATGAGCTACATCCTCAAACGCTGTAGGCCGGCTGGAGGGCTCCAGAGTTTTGTACAGCAGTGCATCTTCAATCGGGCTAGCCATGAACAAGAGCCCTATGGCCCAAAACAGGAAAAGAAAGACAGAAAGAAGAAGAGAAGGACGAGTGTAGGAGGGGAGTGATGGGGTGGTGAAATGATGAGGGAGGGAAAAAGAGTGAAAAGAGTGGAAAAAAGGGGGGAGAGGGAGGTGCAGGTGAGACAAGCTGTGATTGATTGATGCTTTGTCTTTGTGGTGCCGCATAGGTCCTGCAGAACCGCTGGCCACCTGGTGGAGAGACGACGTTTCAGGCTCAGACTGCACTCTCACTGATGCTACCACACCCTATTCAACATCTTGACTTGCTTTACTTTGTTTTGAGAAGAGGGCAGTGGATGGAAAAAGGATAACGTCATTGTTATTGGGATGATTTCTTTTTTGGCGGTTAATATTTCCCTTGAGAGTGAGAAAGGCTACTGGCATCATAAGAATTAAGGTCAGGCTGCAAAAAGCTATTGACATTTTTCACATGTCCACCCACATTCACATGGTAGAGCCCTACAAAAATGAGGTGGAGTTACATTCAGGGCTCTCTGAGTCACAGATAGGCTCATCCAGAAATAATCCACAGGGAATGAGCAGTTAGAGGCATTTTTGGCAGCTGCTATTAGCTCCCGTGGTTTGGGCGGCCATGTTGGAGTGCAGTCTGAGCCGTGGTGTCGACCCTCCACCGGCCCTCTCTCTCTCTCCTGTGCACAGGCAGCAGTGAGCAGGGAGGGCGGATCCTACCCAGGTAACTGTGGTAGGGCAGAGGGATGAGCTGGGCATTAAGTTGTTTCTGATCTGCCACCTCGTAGGGCCCGTCGTCGTAAAAACCGAGGTCAAGCAGAGTCTGGTTTAGGAGCTGGACACGCATCTCACCTGGAATGGAAACAGGTGAGGGCACAGCAAGCACACACACAGCGGATAACAGAAGACAAACACACTTGTGTGATTTGTTGCATACTTGCACACATGGCAAGTCCAAATTATCAGTGTGTACACCAAGTCATTGTAAAATGTTTAGTTAGTCTACAATAAAATCAACATCCTTAACCATCTTACACTAACCACAAATTATACACATGTTCAACGTTGGGCATAAATAAAAAAGTATTTTGAAGGAGGAAAGTGTTTACAATATAGGAATGATTGTATGTTGTAATTTTTGTAACCAAATCCGGTACACTAAATGCAGACTTCTGCATGTTTTAGAATGTGATATGTATGAATTGTGTGAATCAAATAGCATTGATCTCATGTGGCGAACAAAATAAATCAATCCAGTATATGATTACCGCACCAACTAAATATTATTGCCTACTTTGATTAAGTGCACACCGCTTCTCTGCATAATGTCTGTTTCCAATCACTAGATTGGTTTATTAATCAATTCAATGTTCAATCCCTAACAGTATAGTTCTCCTAATAGTGTGTTTTAATTACACACTTTACAAGGATTGGCTCTATTCCATAGTTCACATTAATTGCAGTAAAGTACTATTTAATTAATTTGATTGAAAAATGTCATAAAATCACTCAGATTTACATTCATCCTTGTGATTCAGATAAAAAATGAAACAATGCATGTCTAAATATCTTTTTCTTGCTGCCACCTAGTGCACAAACACATTTCTTTTGCAACTTTAAAACTGCATCACCATTTTGGTCAAAACAATCCATAGCAAGGAAGACCTGACAGTTGTTACAGTGATTCTGCGTTCTGCGGGTGAATCGGACACCTTACCTTTCCAGTTGTAGGTTCCTGGAGCCCCAAACAGAATGAAGTCGTTGTCTGGGGTGAAACTGACGGACATGCCCTGCTGACAGAAGCCAAACTGCTCGTGTCCCTGCGGCCGGCCCTCGCAGAACTTCCACTCCCCTCCATCCAGGTCGTCCCGCTCCGTCAGATCATCACTCAGAACGTAGCAGCGTCCAATGGGATCACGGGTCTCTGAAGATTGACCAACACGTTGCCTGAGCTCATACAGGTGAGCACAGGTCTGGTGAGGGACAGGAAATGGAGTATTAATGATCAGGATTTATATGTTGGTACTGTTACTGTTGTTACTCATTCAGAAAAGCTAGTCTTCAACGTCGAACATACATTTCGAAAAGGTTAATACAGATTAACCAAACCTCAAAATGGTCTAGATTCACAAGTCATTGGGTCAGAAGCAAAACAACAAGAACAGCATAGCTTCCTTCACTGGTACATTAACAGGATGTGGCCTTCACTTACCACCACCTTCCCTCCAATCCCCTGACTCTTGACAGTGACTCCCAGCCACTGGTTGTCTTTGCTCTCTCTTTCCAGATCCACTGAGGGAAAACGCAGAAGGAAATGGCTTCACATCATAACAGTTCCCATATTGTAAACCAATTAGGATCTGAGCCACAGTAAGCAAACAGCACTTTGTTGTTGAAGTTGAACACACAGTAAACTTTTCTCTAATGTAATGCAAATTACTAAATAAATGTCAAACACGAGATAGAAACTTTTGAATAATAAAGGCTGTCTAAAAATGTAAAAGTCTGTGGTTTATTTTCTGGATTATTCGAATTTCTTTGATCATGTGGGCAAAAGTCAGCAATTGGTAAAAAAGTGCCCATTACAATATTCAGCAATACCAGTATTAAGCATGTTGACATATTTGAACTGTCCGTTTTAGTTGACAAACAAACTACCCCAAATGATTAAGAAAAAAAACAAGGAAAGCAACAATAGTAACATCACAACAGGCAAATAATCACATTGGAGATGCTTAAACTAATCATATTTTTTTTAAATGACCAAGTCTATTATCTAAATTACAGCTGACTCAATTAGCACCACATTGTTGCTGCTAATCAATAACTGACTAATCATTAAAGTTCTACTTGACTCACCTTCTCCGTCGATATCCACCCTCTCACAGTCGTACTCCTCAGGTGTGATTGGACATTTGAACAAAGCTCCTGGCCGAGTGCCCCTCATCAGGCCCTGCCCCGCCGCCTGTGGGGCTCCCACAAGGATCCTAAAGGGACAAAACAATGAACATTTATTTAATGAAACATTTTCATTGCTGAATTCATGGTAGAGTCTGTTAGTATAGGGTTTATGACAGTAACTTAACATCTCATGTAAGTCAAGTAGGCTCCTACATAAAATCTAATGATAGTTGCAACTGGTTAAACGCTATTATTAAAGCTAACATTTTACATGTGACTGTGGGCACATTTCACAGCCTCGGCTGACCTGAGGCACCATTACTGTAAAGTACAAACACCTGTAACTCAAGTTATTCCAACCATGCCGAGACCACCAAATATGTTATCTCGACTTTAAGCTGATTCGAAACAGCTCTGTGTATCTGCATGTTCTCCATCTCCTTTTCACTATAATGATGTAGCTATCATCAAACACCCTTCACTATCAAGGCAAGGAAAGGTTTTATTCTCAGTGAGGTGGTTGCTGATATTTTGGGGCCAGTGTCACTGCCCTCTGCCTTATTTGGAGCGGCTGATTCAGGCTAGGATGCTATTTAAAAACCGAGCGTTGAGCCACATTCCACCCAACACCGTCAGCCGTGGCATATGCATGGAAGCGAGACGTGGGGAAATGGAGGCGAAGGAAAGAGTATAATAAGCATATTGTAAGGTTGGGAAAAAAGACAACAAAGCCCGACAAAGGGATGAACCTTAAATTGAGTGCCACAACAATAGCTGTTTCAATATGCCTGCTGCTTACATATAATTATAGCGACGGTGTGTGAGTAGACACAAGCTGTAAAGCCTGTGTGAAAAGGTCCCATCACCAACCCCCCTCATATCTACCTTGCTATGTGTATACTTAAATTAGAGTTATCTCTGTGGCTGGCAAGTATTTTACTATAAATAAAATGTAGCAAGCGGATAGTCCTGCATGTAACCCACACAGACAGAGAAGTAGACACAGACACTCATCAACCAGCCATACCAGCAGGAACTCGTCATAATAATTTACTCTTGAGATATTTGAAGTTGTTGCTTGGTAAAATGTAATGAGAACAGGGAGAATTGAGCATGCTGGACCAGACAACTGCACTTCCCAACATCTTACTTATTTTGCACGGTGAGAAGAACAGCAACCTTGACTCAACATCTTTTCTTCTTCAAGTGTAAGAAAAAAAACGTTGTCTTCACACTCATCCAAACCATCTTAACACACTGACTTTACTTTCTATTTACTTCGGAGTGCTTCTGTTGAAGAGCAGCCGGGCGTTGCCTCAGGATGATTCCCCTCACCTTAATGAGACCTCCACCCAAAGCAAAGACAGCTCATGTGAAATAACGACTGCTAGACATCACTGGTGGTCCACAGGAGTAACCCAGCAAAACAGCGTTAACAGATGTTAAACAAAAGGGATTTAAGAGGAAGAATTTATCACTAAAATACTGATAAGATCTGATCCCTCTTATAGCTTTAACATTCCTGAGGAGCTCTGGTTTGTGTTGAGGAGTTGAGGTGATACCCATCTTTCCGCCCACATGTGCACACGCAGGCAGGTGTCAGGGTGTGAGGTGGGAGGTCTGTTCAGCTGTTATACCACCAGTATTTGGCAGGGAAAGTTGGATGGCTCCCAACCTAAATATATATTCATCTAATTTTGACTAATTCTTCAGAGAGAACAGCTCAAAAGAGATGAAGTATACAGCCATGAAACAAAAATGATCAGGGGCCATGGCCATCCTTCAAGTCAAGAGATGATCATAAATGTTTCTCAGAGACAAATCAATTAATGTATATATGTCACATTTCATTGTCATTTTAGATAAGGAGTTCAACCAGCAGTTCAAAAAGAAAATGATGCGGGAAGAGAGTGAGGATAATGGTTGAGATCGTGTGAGGGAAGATCAGACTGTTTTATGTTGGCTTTGCATTTTTCTAATTTAATTTAGTATGAATAACTAATATTAACCTGCACATATGCCTCCATACTCTCTAAAATTAGAGAATATCATGAATAAAGCTCACATTTTTATAATTAGCTGACAAAAATTGTGATTAATCATTAAAGTAATTTAAAGTATTTCTCTGTGTAAAATGCCAACATTTGCCAGCTCCAGCTCCTTGTTATAAGGAAATGCTGATTTACTTTCTCCCATATAAAAGCTTATTGTATATATTCTAACTGTTTCTGATTAATAGTTGGATAAAACAAGACATTTTACGATGTAACACTGAGCTTTTAGAAATTGTCAGAGATGTTTTTCACTATTTTCTTACATTTTAAGTGAAACAATTAATCCTTTGATTATGAAAAAAATTAAATAATCATAAGTTCCAGCCCTTTTTGCTGTAAGGACATTCATTGTCGTGTTCCCCTTAGTCTTTCCCAAAAATGAAAAGATTCTTTGTTTGAAAAATGTAATTTATCATTTAAAAATAGATTTAAGACAACAAGGCCATATTGTCTGGGTTTCCTCAGCAATTGTCACAGCCCTGAACATAACATGAAACTGTTTATAAGAAGTTAAGTTAGGCAGAGATGAATAATGCATCCAGACAGGCACACATGAACCAAATTCGACACAGATAAAATGTCATGTCTGAGTAACACATTCACTTTGAGCTCACTTCATTGTACAGCATTGAGTCAGACGATGATCACTGCCATGCTCATCTTTCAGTAAACCCACATCTGACGTGTGTGTGTGTGTGTGTGTGTGTGTGTGTGTGTGTGTGTGTGTGTGTGTGTGTGTGTGTGTGTGTGTGTGTGGTGTGTGTGTGTGTGTGTGTGTGTGTGTGTGTGTGTGTGTGTGTGTGTGTGTGTAATATGAGTAGTTGTGGGTATGTTGCTGCTGCTGGCTGGATGGGAGATATCAGGGTGTTGAGAGTGATAGTGACAAAGTCGGCACCAACATACCTGAGTGTGTGTTTGTGTGGGTGAGATTGTGTTATATTACATAGCCATGTTGTATACACAGATTAGATCATGCACCTGGACACCGCCTTCATCCTCTCAGCCCCAGGATCCATCAAGTAAAGTCATTGTAAATCTAGTATTTTACACTGATCTAAAGTTATTAGCCAGAGTTCAAATCAACCTCGATGTGAGCGATGACGACACTCAGGTTTCAGCTCTGGGTCCTTTTAACTAGTTATATTAATACCATTACTGTTAAGGAATAATTCTTCTAGATATCTAACCTTTTGCTCTGAGACGTTTTATGATCTACTCTGACGTCTGTTATCTCCTTTAAGGAAAGGCATTGGTGTCATATGTGTTGTTGTCACCAGTTTGTGACCGGTCAACTTGTCTGGCACGAATGGTAATTGTTGTGAGAACACTGAGGCACTTCTTTATCGGTGTTTGTGGACTCTAAGATGTGAAATCTTCGAGGCCATGAGTGTCGGACGCAGGTGGTTCAGTGTTCCCAGCTGTTTAGTCTACTCCTTCAGAGATGTTGATTACTCTCTGTGAACCAGTTAAAAGGTCTAGCATAGAGAGAGGCTCTTCAGAATTGACCTGGCAACTCTACCGTGTAGTCAGAACCTCTGACTCTTTGACTTGTGATGTGAATCCTCCGGCCGATACTCTGAAATAAACCCATCAGTGTTTGACATCAAAAGCTCCAACTCTCACCGTGTCTCCTTCCTGAGTCGGTGACTCCCAATGCATTGCTACACAGAAGTTTCCCCCACAATTACTTTGGACATACCATAGGAAAACAAATAGGTGTTGTGATCTATGTGGTGCTGCTATCTTGGCGGGGGTAATTCTAATTGAAGCTCTTTTTCTGTTTCAATAAAGTAATATTGTTATATTATTTTCTAATCAAACACCATAGTTCAGTGACGAAGTGTAATGTTGATTTCTAACCAAATAACAAAAATGACCGTGTCAAAATTCCGGAAATAATTTCTTATAAGCCCACCCTCCACTATAAATCCTTCTTGATTTTCAGGCTAATCATCACATACACATGACAATCACACACAGGAGCCTCATTACACTAGACTCATACCGATGTGTTCATTAAGGGGAGCATGTGCAGTGACCCCAAAGTCTCCCCTGACCACCCCTCCCCCATGTAAACCCCATCCTCACACACAATCCCATTCTCCTTCACTCCTCCCCCACTCTCAGGAGTCACATCCCTGCGTTCAGCTTCCCATAGAGGCAGATTGATGGCAACACACTGGACAACAATACATCACAGATGCAATCAATATTCCGACCGGCATCCTCTCTCTAAATATCAAGAAAGATTGCAAAAAGAGAAACACCCAAGAGTGTTGTTCCATCCTATATGATGACTCGAACATGGTTAAGCCCAGCAATGTTGATTCTTTCCTCATACCCTTGCACTTGCAGCGTGTAAAATCGTATGTAGTCTATATTCATGTTTCATCGCAGGATGCATTCTACGCGTTGGGTTGATAAGATGTCCAAACTCCTGGTTTGGTAACATTTTTAAAAATAAATGTTTTATAATTCAAAGTCCCCTGACATTAAGCTTTAAACTAGACTGCTTTGTCTTTGTTACTGAAAACACATGGCAATAGTAGCAGACCTACAGAAACATCTGCAGAAATGTATTTTGTACTCCCAAGAGAATTCCTGAATCCTGTTTTGTTTGTTTAAGGAAAGAGAATACCTTTGCTGGAAAAGGAGAGATGGATGTTGGCGTTAATGTGATGGCCACACATGGTCAGTTTGCAAAGAGCCTCAATCTGACTGCACACCATTGAAACAATGTACAGAAGCTTTCCACACCTTAGAGAGCAACTGAAAATATTTCTAAAACCCACCCTTTTCCTAGAATTGTCCAGGCCTCTCAAGCTTTAGGAAGTTTGGGAAAAGTGTTGAATAAAAAAATACAGCCTAAATATTTCCAATATTTAGTTTGGTCAGTTGATCCCTCCTAGTCAGTCTGCCCACACACTTTGACATATGTCCTTCTGGGATCAGTGTGAGGCTGTTGCTCATACAGACAGTGGCTCTACAGGATCAGCATGGGGGCCAGGGGGCTCTTTAGGCCTTCTGTTACC